CGCAGGGAGAGGGGTCGCCCTACCGCAGCCCTCACGGGCGCCGGCCCAAACCCCAGCTCCCGCAGAGGCCCGTGACCTTCAGGAACCGGCCGGCCAGACCGTACTCACCTACCTCGAGATTCCAGGAGGCAAATCCCTCCGGGGACCGTCCGCCCCGCCCTCGCCGCCGCCGGCCGAGGCGTGCGTAAGGACGTGCGCGCGCCCGCCCTTTGTCTATGCCGCCTTGACGTGACCCTCGCGTCCAGTCCCCACCCTCCCGTCGTCTAACCTCACGCCCAGTACCCACGCGCTGGCGCGCGCCCGGTCGGGCTGGGCGGGGCCCCGAGGGGCGGGGAGATGGGGGCGGAGCGCCGGGAGATGAGCAGACGGGGCGCCAAGTCTTGGGCCGGGGAGGCGGGGAGGCGGGGCGCCGAGGGGAGGGGCGCTGGGGAGGCGGGGCTCAGAAGGGCGGGGCGCCGGGGAGACTGGCAGACGGAGAGCCGAATGGAGGGCCGAGGAGGCAGAGCTGCGCGTCACGAGCCCCAAGTGGGCGCGCCCGGGACCCTCCAAGGTGCCACCTGGCGGGCGAGGACCGCTGCCTGGGCCGGGTCAGCTGCTGCAGAGACCGGTACTGTGCGCGCCGGGCTCTGGTCGCCTGCTCCTCGCCTGGCGCGTGCCCCCGGGACTCCTGCTGTGATAAGGGGAGCACTTCCTAAAGAGAGGTCTCCACGCTTCTGAGCTGCGCCAGGGCCCGAATGCTGGCTGCTTCCCGCAAAGAACACTCTTATAGGTTCTGGAGAGAGTGAAATCAGCCCTGATTAGCGAGAAAAGGCTTGAGTCACCAAATGGCCTTGTCATCTTGGGGCTGTTGTGAGTATACAGTGCGATACAGATCGGTATGGAAAGAACTTAGCTTGCGGCCGGCACGCTCAAGAAATATTAGCTGTCATCACCACCACCATCATCATCCGAGTCTCATTTGCCAACTAGCGAAGCCAAGGAGTTCAAGGGTTGGTGTAGGCATCTCCCTGTTCCCTCGCAGCTGTAACTTTCCAACGTCTACCTCAACTTGTAACTTACCTCTCTGCTAAAGTCTAGTTGCTGCCTGCTGGAGTTTGCATGTGTATTGCTCACCATCTCTTTAAACTTCAAACGCCTAACCCAAACCTGTATCATCTGCCCTAAAATTGGTTCTCCTTTAAAAAAACATTAGCCCTTTTCCTTCCTGTTCGTAAAAGATCAAGCCCTCCCTCCTAGTTTATTCTGCACCCTGCTGTCAGATTGCCAATCCATGCTAAATGATCTGATAGTAAGGCTCGAGGGTAAAGTCCATATTCTTAGACCTCAAAATCATCATATAAGAATGATGGCTCTGCTCTCAAACACTGGACCGCTCATCCCCATGCTAAATGCTACCACACCTGTGGGACTTACCCCATATTCATTAACTCAATCATTTATCCATTCATTTAACAAATTTTGGTCCCAATGATGCAAACAATGCATGGCTATGTCTAATCTTCAAATAGATTAAGTTCCATAAAAGGAGAAACTGGACATCATCAATGGGAGGCATAGGGCTTTAAAGTGGCCACCACCATCATAAATGCTCTTTGGGTTCTTACATCTGCTCTCCTTTCTTCATCCAGAATCAGTCAAAATGTAGAAGTCATCCATTCACCTGCTTTGCTCATATATATTCATGTTTAAATTTCCTCACAATTCTTACCATACACTACATTTCTTTGTACATAATAATTTTGAAATTTAAAAATGTTTTACCCACACTAGAGACTGAACACAAATGGTGTTGACTGATTCTTTGCCAAACAAATAGTAGACTCAGTTGTTGGGTATCAACACACACACACACACACACACACACACACACACGCACACACATGCGTGAGAGAATATGTACACGTTCCCTGAGACCATCTCTAAACTTCTTGAGTGCAGGAAGGCAATCAAACTTCTCTCTGAAGAGGAAGCCAATAAGAACCGGGTTAATATAATTCCCTTAGGCTCCAAAGTTTTGTTTGCAAAGGTCAGTGATCTGGTCATATCTCTGTCATGGTCATTTCTAGGCATGAGGTATACAAATGGGAGAGAGAAAATGAGCAAGCAGCTTGAAAAGTTAGACACAAAGTAGGCTTACCTACAGAGGAGGCCTCTTGCCTATAGCATGATCAGCTTATATCCAACAGTAAACTCCTTGTCACGGTGAATTGGGACTTTTAGATGATTGTTAAAGGTATTTTCACATTCTAGAATGAATATACTCTCATACTACAAAAATGACCTGAGTAATTTAAAAAACCTGATGAAGGATAGTCCATTAAGAGTAGGGGATCACAGTGTTTAAGAGCTCAGTGAGAAGTTTAATAACCTCCCACGCCATCCTAACTGAACTCATTTCCCAAAATGCGCCTCTGCGATCACTGTGTTTGCTGTGTGTGTGTCACACGGTGCTATGAACTGGGAAGATACTCCTTTTAAAAGATACTCCTGGACTTCCCTGGTGGCGCAGGGACACGGAAGCCGCCTGCCAATGCAGGGGACACGGGTTCGAGCCCTGGTCCGGGAAGATCCCACATGCCGCGGAGCAACTAAGCCTGTGCACCACAACTACTGAGCCTGCACTCTAGAGCCCATGAGCCACAACTACTGAGCCCGTGTGCCACAACTACTGAAGCCCGCGTGCCTAGAGCCCGTGCTCGGCAACAAGAGAAGCCACTGCAATGAGAAGCCCGCGCACCGCAACGAAGAGTAGCCCCCACTCGCTGCAACTAGAGAAAGCCCAAGACCACGTGCAGCAACGAAGACCCGACACAGCCAAAATAAAAAGAAAAAAGATACTCCTTCCCCCAGCAGAATAATCCCGTTTGTGTGCTGTATAACTTCTCTCCCATCCAAGTCACCTTTATGTGTGCAAAGCCTTTGACATTTATTGAGAGGTGAATCCACAACCAGCAACAGAGATGCTCATTTCCAAGCCCCTAGAGAAAAGGCCAAATTAAGCAAAAGTTGGGTTCTTTTTGAAAAATGTTTTCATTGTGGTGAAATACACATAAAATTGACCATCCTAAGCACTTGTAAGTGTACAGTTCAGTAGTGTTCAGTATATTCACGTTATTGTGCACTCAATCTCTAGAAATTTATCATTTTGTAAAAAGAAAACTGTATCCATTAAACAAATACTCCCTAATCTTTTTCCCCCAGCTCCAGGCAACCACCATTCTACTCTCAATTTCTATGACTCTGAGTACTCATATCTCATGTAAGTGAAATTATACAATATTTGTCTTTTTGTGACTGGCTTATTTCAGTTAGCATTAATGCCCTCCAGCTTCATCCAGAATTTCCTTCCTTTTCAAGGCCGAGTAATATTCCACTGTATGTGTAGACCACAGTTTCTTTACCTGGTCATCCATCGGTGGGCATTTGAGTTGCTCCCATCTTCTGGCTACTGTGACTAATGCTGCTGTGACGTGAATGTACAAATATCTGAGTTCCTGCTTTCAGTTCATTTGGTTATATACCCCAAAATGGGATTGCTGAATTGTGTGGTAGTTCTCTTTTTAACTTCGGGGGAACCACCATTTGAGATGCTATTCTTTGATATATGAGTCTGGAGTTAGGAGGAGAGATCCAGGCTAGTAACATAAATTTAAGAATCATCAGAATATGGATGATATACATGTTGGATCAGATTAACACAAGGACACTCGGTCTTAAGTAGGACTTTGCAGTTAAGAGCAAAATGAAGACAAGTTTCTCAGTTTGTATCCACACTGTGGTCCTCGGTTTGAAAATACACAGACTCAATTTTGCCAATTCACAGCAGGATGATCTGGCTCTGGGGATTGATCTGTAGTAATCAGACCAACAGGAGACACTGATAATAAGATAAGGCTTATTTATTAATTTAGGTGGCTAATTGAAAATGCTTAATTCACTAGAATAATAGAATAATAAAACTGGGATAATAGAATCCATAGGTCAGTTCATACCCTTAGCGGTAGGAAATCTACTTGGGAAACCAAATCAATACCAATAGGTTGTTGTTGACTATAACATTTAAAAAAAGAAAAAAGGAAATGTGTGACTGTAAAGGCTCTGGCAATTTGACACATCCCCGAAATTCTACTTGTACAGCATTCTACCTGCCATGTAGCTGAAAAAACCTTGGTTGAGCAAAGCATCCTCTTGGATGAATATGGGAAACTACTCCTCTTCACCAGGCTCCCCATTTTCTAAAATTCACACCCACCAGCCATTATCACCTCCATTTTCTAAAATTCACACCCACCAGCCATCATTATCACCTCCATTAAGACAACTGGCTGCCTTCCAGAGAGTCTCAAGAAAAGAAAAGGGGAGCTTCAGTTGCTTTAATTCAAAAAGTCTAGTGGAAATTACATATGTAAATAAGGCCACTTAAGCTAACTAAAATGCAATTTCTGGCAAACATCTGCTCAGCTTGTAGGGACTCATGATAGCGGGCAACTCCAACAGGAAGTGGTCTCTGATTTCTCCCTCGTGTCCCTAACGCTCTTAGTTCCCTGACCAGGGATTGAACACACGCCCTCCTTCCCCTGGCAGTGAAATCACGGAGTTCTAACCACTGGACGGCCAGGGAATTCCCTATCCATTTTTATTATCTATTTATATGGCTGGCTTCCCTCACTGGACTGTGAATTTTTTAAATTCATCTTTCCATCCCTAGTAGTTAGTATCTGGCACACAGCACTTGCTCAATCAATGTTTGTTGAATGAGTAAAAACTACACAACATAACCATCAGAAACTTGACAAATTATTTACGCAGTTAATGAAATCATGAAATGAACTAGTACTGAATGCATGAAATTTGGTAGACAACACACATTGTGTGTGGGGAAAAATAGTAAAAGGGGTTCTTAACAGCAAAAAGACCAGAGCTCAGTGAATGGAAATATTACCCAGATAAGAAAGGGTGTTATAAATTAGACCAGTTTATTTTAGTCTGGAGTCTTCAGAGGTCAAGAGGGTCCTGAGCCACTTTCATTTTTTTGAGATTATCACTATGAAATAAGAATTACAGGATTAATATTGTGACATATAGTACATGTGCATATTTCCAGAATCAACAATTCTAACAGAAAAGGGGGCAATGAGCACAGTTGTGCAATTTACCAGATAAGGCTTTATAAAATACCAAATATTAATTCAAAGTGCACTACA